CAGAGTGCCTGAGTGGGCCCTGCAGATGTGGTTGGATCTGGATATTTGGGTTCATGGGCTAGATTCCAATGGATGTTCTTTAAACACTCCTGTGTTGACAACTGTTTTGTGGGAGGAATAAACCGGTGTATCGATAACCATTTGCCTTTCTGATTTCAAAACAGAAACGTTTATTACATGAGATTTTCTAAGACCACCACTTGGGAGCATATTAAATTATTTAAAATTTAGATGCTAAAATAAACCACTTGTCCTTAGCAAATGGCAATTCTAGCCCTGACCTGTCGCTTTGCTGCAAGGTTCCTGGTACTTTGCCAATCATGTTCAGTAGAGGGACCAAATCCAGTGGTTGAGGGAAATTCAGTGAATGGACTAGCCCCAGTCGATGATATTTAATCTCCTTTTATGGACTGCCCACTGGAGAGCTGTCTGGCTACTGTTCCTTTGATCTGCCTGTGGCTTCAAACTTAAAATGAAGTAATATAAAAACTTAGATCAAGATTGCTCTTTTAACATTCAAAGCTGGAAAGGGCATATGGTGTGCACCCCTGTAATCCTAACACGTGGGAGGGTAAGACAGGGAGATCATCTTGAAGGTAAGGCCAGCCTGGGTTCCATACAAGACCCTATCCCTCAAAGTGGAACCCATATATAGCTAGATAATTTGAGGGGTCGGTCTTTTTTTGTTTGTTTTGTTTAGTTTTTTGTTTTTTCCAGACAGGGTCTCTCTATGTACCCTTGCTGTCTGGAACTCAGTAGGCCAGGCTGGCTTCAAACTCACAGAGATCAGCCTAATTTTGCCTCCTGCGCACTGGGATTAAAGGTGTGTGCCACCACAGTCAGGCTAGAGGGCGCTCTTTTATGTTAACGCTAGTGTTAATACATATGTGCAGTAGATGATGGGCGCATGTGTTCTCTCTCTCTCTCTCTCTCGTTCTTTTTCTCACTCTCTCATTCTTTCTCTCTCTCACACTCATACACACACAAAATGGTGACAAAGAATTGTTTCTAGAATTGTCAGGTAATCCCTAGAGAGTGGAGTCTCTGCTTCAGAGAGAGAGAGAAAACTGTTAGTATTTTCATGGGTGTTAAACCTTATGGCCTTGTGACCATAGAACTGTTTTGAGTAAGTTCACAGAGAACGTGTGAGAAGAAGCTTTTGATTTTTAGCCAATTGGCTAAATTAAAAGCTTTTCATTGATAATTTAAAAAAATGCCTTTGATGATTTTAAAAGACTAGAATTCTGTTTTCATTTTGTTTTGTTCTAGTGGGCAAAACATTGAAGGTTCCAGAAAGGATCTTTGACTCTCAAAATGTACATTTCTTGACTTAGTAAAAAAGCTGGCTTTCTGAAGGTAGAAGACACAGCCTGGAGCGTCTCCTCAGTCCTAGCTGTGTTGGGCAGTTGCACAGCTGTACAGTGGCTAGCATTACATTTTCTCAAGATGGCAGTCTCAGAAGCAACAAATAAAACAGGTCAAGTCCAAATGTGAAGCTAGGGAGAAAGGGCGGTAGTGCAAACTCCTTGCCCATCTTTTACCTTGAGCTAATGATGCCCAAAGGAACACAGGTGAATGGTTGACTAGATGAAGCTCTCCCCTTCCACTCATTCTACCCTTGCTTTTCTACTTCAGGTAAAACTGATTTTCAGAATCATAAATCTAGTTGAAGATAATGCTGTTCTGCTGCTGTGTGACTTTTACTCAGTGTCTGGAAGCAGCTCCAAGGGCTTAGAGAGTGCATTATAAAATATTTTCATTATAATGCATATTCATTATAATCTACATTATTTTTATTATAATATATTCATTAGAAATATTTTAATATTTTATTATGAGCTACTCAGATACATACAAAATAAAGTATTAAGGGGCCCCATCCCTAGATTTCTTTCTTTTTTTTTGAGATATGGTTTCTCTGTGTAGCCCTGGCTGGCTGTCCTGGACTCACTTTTGTAGACTAGGCTGGCCTTGAATTCACAGAGATCCTCCTGCCTCTGCCTCTCCAAGTGCTGGTATTACAGGCATGCACCACCACTCCCAGCATTAAGGTTCATTTTTTATATTGACTAAGACTATAGTGGATAAGGTTTTTTTTAAAAAAAGCTATTCCTACAATAACAAGATCTAAAAATATTTTACCCATAATCCTCACCTGTTCTACCCTCCAATTCAGTCTGTTTTCCCTGGGTGTTTGTGACCACAGTACAATGAGAATTTAGTACACAAGAGTTGTACAAATTTGCTTTGTATACAGATGTTCACATTTCTAGTCTAGTCTTCATTCAGCAACATTTTGGAGGTGCCTCGATGTTGAAGAGCATAAAATGATACAGAACAAAATAGAAGATGGCTCCTGACATAAATGTTTGTTAAGAATGGATGTTTTAAAGGTATTTGTCTAGAAAACTAAAAAGAAAAAGTCTGTGCTAGGAGGTCAAAGTTGAAAAGGTAACATTAGCTACCAGAGGCAAGGCACTCCCTGTCTGTTAGTCTGATTCTTGAGCTGGTAGAGTTCCACGTACCTGGCGTCCCTGTATACCAGGTGCCTGTGGAGTCATAGGGAGCTGGTAATTCATGCATACGGCAGAGAAACCAAAGCTTAGGCATTGGTGGGACCTAGACTGCTTGGACCCACCATTAGATTGGTTTATCACTGTGTCTCACTATGGGGAGATGGAGCTGGTAGTCAGAGTTGAGTTATTTTGCATCTTTTAAGATATTTATTTTTTTATTTTATGTATATTGGTGTTTTGTCTGCACACTGCTATAGGGCATCGGCTTCCATGGGAGTACAGTTATAGATAGTTGTGGGCTGCCATGTGTGTGCTAGGAACTGAATCCAGGACCCTCTAGAAGAACAGCCAGTTCTCTTAATTGCTGAGCTATCTCCAACCCCTGTTCTGCACTTTTAAAAACTGTTGTCTGGGCTGGGGTTATAGCTCAGTGTTAGAGCACTTATTGGCATGCCTGAGGCCCTGGGTTTCATCCCTAGTAGCACCAAATAATTTAATTGGTTTATTTTTTCTTATTGGTTTGTTGTTTTGTTTGTTTGTTTGTTTGTTTATTTGAGACAAGATTTCTCTATGTAGTCTTGGCTGTCCTGGACTCACCTTGTAGACCAGACTGGCCTTGAACTCACAGAGATCTGCCTGCCTCTGCCTCCCAGAGTGCTGGGATCATAGGGGTGTGCCACTGTGACCAGGTAATTTAATTTTTTTTTTTAACTCTGCTACCTAAAACAAAAACAATAATAAAATAGCATACAAAACAATCAAGGAAAGCTAGGAATGCAGCTCAGTTGATAGAGTGCTTGCCTAAAATGCATGAAGTCCTGGACTAGATCCCCAGTAGCACACAGTCCTGGTGTAGTGGCATTGCCTGTAATCTTTGCACTCGGAAGGTAAAAGTTTAAGGCCAGCCTGGAATACATGAGACCCTGTCTCAAAAGAAATGAATGAATGAATGAATGAATGAATGAATGAATGAATGAATGAATGAATGAATCTTACATGAGAAAAACAACCCCTTTTAGGTTACCGATTCCTACCACGCCTGCCCTCCTGGGTTTGAAGTCTTCCTCGTTTGTTTACCTTATGCTCTGCACTTTTGGTAAAGTTTGCCTTTCATTGAAAGTCAGCTACAGGCAGAGCCATTTGAAACATGCTTTCTATTACCCTTTTTCCTCTCTTTCCGGTTATGGCGGTGCTGGGGGTTAGCTCCAAGGCCCCAGGGTTGCTAGGCAAGCACTCCGCCACTAAACTACATCCCAGACCTTTATCCACTTCTTTTACTTGCTTGTTAAAGTTCAGTAGAACTAGAAAACAAGTACATGGTGGTTGTAAGCTGGTTTGACTTTACCAAATTCAGACTTTGTCAGTTAATCAAGATCTACTTCTTTTAAAATCTAATTTAATTTTATTTTATTAATTACACTTTTTCACTTTGTATCCCCCCCATAAGCCCCTCCCTCCTTCCCTCCCGATCCCTCCCCCTTCTTCATGCATGCCCCTCCCCAAGTCCACTGATAGGGGAGGTCCTCCTCTCCTTCCTTCTGATCTTAGTCTATCAGATCACGTCAGGAGTGGCTGCATTGTCATCTTGTGGCCTGGTAAGGCTGCTCCCCCTTCAGGGGGAGGTGATCAAAGAGCAGGCCAATCAGATTATGTCAGAGGCAGTCTCTGTTCCCATTACTATGTAACCCACTTGGACACTAAACTGCCATAAGATCTACTTTTTAAAATTCTGTGTTAAACGGTTTTTTTTTCAGACAGAAAGTAAATTTTAGGAATTTTGATTCATCTCCCCATGTAGACAACAGCTTGATTCATATTATAAAGAGAAAATAATGTAGGTATGTACGCTATTAGACCTAGGTTCTAGGTAGACACAAGATTTACTTTGAAATGAGAATCACATCACAGTGAACAAATACTCTTGACATTTATGATTGCTTTTTGGATGAGCTACAGTCTTGACCTCCAGCATGTGTTTATCCTGGTAAAAATGTTTGTAGCTAGATCAGAAAGAGAGTTCCGCAGTTAAAAGCACTGGCTGCTCTTCCAGAGGACCCGAGTTCAGTCTCCAATAGCCATATCTGGTATCTCACAGTCCAGGGGATCTGATGGCCTCTTCTGGCCTCTGTCAACAACAGCACTCATGTTCATACCCCCCCCCACACACACTAAAAACTGAAATCTTTTTTAAAAGTTGATAGCTGTTTCCTGTACTGCAACTTCTTAGTCAAGGATGAGAGGCAAAAGACTTGAGAGACTCTTCTCTTAGAACATGTCTGAGAAAGGTGGGAGAGACATTCCAGTAACATCATCTCTTTCTTCTCAGAATAAATGGCTTCTTCACTCCACTGTGAGATTTAGTAGAAACAAGTTGGTAAATACTTTCAGTGTAATTGCTTTAAAGAACTGAATCTCCAAATTACGATATTTGTGGTGGGGTGCTTCAGGGCCTGACTGCACTTGCGTCTCTTCCCTTTTCGGCAGGAAATTACTACGTGTTTGCCAGATTACTACAAATGGACTCAATACCTGTTCATCAAACTCTATGAAGCTGGATTGGCTTATCAAAAGGAGGTAAGTCTATGTTACCTACCCTTTTATAAGTTTGTAAATCCTCTCTATCTTAGAATCATCTCTGTAAGCCAGGTGTGATGGCGCATGCCCTTAATCCCAGCATTTGGGAGACAGGGGAAGGCAGATCTCAGTATGTTCCAGGCCAGCCAGAGCTACATAGATATACATATCTATTTGTGATATACATATCTCAAAAATACCAAAACAAAGCAAAAATCATCACTTTCATGTGAGAAACAAAATCCTATTTGCACATCATGGTAAAGATGAATGCTGCTTCTGTCTTATAGACTCACCTGCAGCAGGCCTACCACTACCTAAAATAAAGCAGTATTTGGTCCTTTCTTTTTACCTACTTAAGTAGCACTCTTCCTGCCATCTCCCTGATAGGAGTGATAATAATAGATGAGCCAATTTTCTTAGGTTTATGAGCCTAAGAATTTTAGGGCCTAGATACTTACATCATGGTCATCTCTATATACTTATGAGGAAAAGCCTTGGAGGACCTGATGTTAGAAGAATTAAACTGTTTGAAGCTGGTCTTTCCACCTGATTCCAGATGGTAGAGCTTCAAGCTTTCTGTGACTTTCCTACCTGTGGTTGTAATATTATAACAGAGGTTAGAGCTTATGGATTGGCTAACCTCTCCCCACCCTGATTTTTATGTAGGTGTGAGAAACATCCAGAACCACCCAGGTCCCCATCCTGAAAGAGCCACTGAAGAGAATATAATAAACGGCTTGACTGTGCTGCCTTTAGCACAGTGTCGAAGCGCTGGAAAGTATCTGGCACTGGTAACCGAGGATACCCTTGCCATCTGACACAGGCTAGAGGGCAGTGTCAGGCCCCTGACAGGACAGGGGTGGCTGTAACCTTTAGTAGCACTGCCCCGGGCCACCGGAGTTCCTCACAGAAGGCAAAGTAGCCTGCAGGCCAGAGCTGAAGTAGATGCAGGCTGTGAGCAAGAAGGAAGAGGGGTCTGTGAGGCGTGTAGGTGCTAGCGCCATCTCTGTGGGAACTGCTGGGAATGCCTTTTAGTGCCAAGGAACTGCACATGCTGAGCACGTAGTCTAAAGTTTCTAAGAGTGTATCTCAAGTCAGGTGGAGCAAGCCCAAGGCTCCTCTGTGCTCAGTGCCTTCTTTGTACCAGGAGACGCCTGAGTGTCACAAACTGGTAAGTGTAGGCAGAGGTATTTGTCTTAAACAAAGACTGAAACTAACAGGAGCTCTGGAGTGTCTTCATTATGGTTAGGGCCACCTGTTCTACCTACCAAGTGAGTCCGTGGAACAGGGCTGAGAATTGTTATTCTTAGGGGACAGTGTTGAAAGCAGAAGGCATAGCAGTTCTGGCTATATTTTGACATGAGTAGTGGTTACATGTTCATTTAAAAATTCATTAATTGTTCACTTAAGACTTATCTACTTTTTGTATATTACACATTAACTTAAACTACAGTCTTTCAAAATTGCAAACGTTATTTAGTTTCTTGAGACCCCAGTTCCTTCCCTGTCTGTCAGTATCTCTGGGACCTTCGACGTGTTACGCTGCTTCTCTTCTCCTCATACTCGTTCTCTGTGATCTGATCCCACAAAGCTGATGCAAGGGCCACATCTAAGCCAAGGGTAGCGGCACACAACGGTCATCTCGGGAGTAGCTCAGGTTTGAAGCTAACCCTGAGCTAGATAGCCACTTGGCTGTAAACCACTTAGCACAGAAAACAGCACCTGATTATCACTCAAAAAATTAGTGTTGTTATTAAAGACCAGTATATTTCTTTCTTCTGCAGTAACCCTATTCTTCTAAACTTTAAACGATACTATTTTTTTTCTTCTTTTCCAAAGTGTTCTAAAGTTTCTAATCCTGAATCTTCATCCTGTCATTCAAGAAAAACCCAAGGTTGAATTAGACACATGTTCAGAGGCTTCCACCTTCCCTAAGCCTATTCTCACAAGGGTATTTTGTGTGCCCTTGTCACAGATTGCTAGTGGCCCATTGGCTAGGCAGCCCACCTGAAGGTGTGCAGCCCACCTGAAGGTGTCTTCACACTGTTATAAACTTGTTCTCCAAGGGCACCTCCACAGGGCATTCACCACAGTATATTCCCCTGTCTCCCACATCCTAACAGGCCTTGGTTAACTGGGATCCAGTGGATCAAACAGTGCTAGCCAATGAGCAGGTGAATGAATATGGCTGTTCATGGCGTTCTGGAGCCAAGGTAGAGAAGAAGTACCTCCGACAGTGGTTCATTAAGATAACTGCATATGCAAAGGTAAGTGGTGGTCAGAGACTTTCAGTAATGCCCAATGTGTGGCTATACCACACTGGCAGCCCTACTGAAGGAGCCTAAGCAGAATTCTTAGAGATGGGAGGCACAGAGTCTCAGTGTTCACATACATACAGGGTGGTGAGCACGTCTTAAAGTTTTAATAAAAAAGACAGCCGGAGGTCATTACAAATCCTTGTTTGATGATTGCCACAAAGCAGCAGTAACTCCACCTGCAATTATGCATCCAAAAAAGAAAAAGGGAACGAGTCTTTGTGAAGCTCAGGGGGGCTTGAGTTATAGTTTCTCTGCACCATTGCTTACAGTGACCTAGAAGTGAAGAGCTGACTGGTCTCCAGGAGGGAAGGCCAGAGTAAGAATGAGCTGAGCCAAGTCCAAAGCTCCAGATGTGGCTCTCCTATGCCTCCGATTAGTTGTGCAGGGTTCCCTGGGCCCCAGTTTCTTGATAAGGAAGATGGGCGATCAGACTTGATGATGGTTCAAGTACCTCCCTGCAGATTCTATGTTCAGAGATTCCAGATAAAGCCAGCAGTGGAAGCAGAGTTGCTTAGTAATTCACAGTGGCCTTGACAAAGTCATGAGTTCTGTATGTGTGTAATGCTGAGTGCTTCTGTGTTTGAGCTGGGTCTCATCTGCAGATAACTCAGGTCAGATATAGCATAGTATAAGGCTCATATGCAGAAAAAGCATACAGTCCTAGGCAACTTTTGATTACCACATCCTGGCCCAAAACAAAACCATAGGCCACCAGCCAGCAGACCCTCAGTGTCTTGCCCTCTAAAGATTGTCTGCAGTGAGGCTCATTTCGTTTTAGTTTACTTTGATACAGCTGACCCTAGGCGTGGATCTGGGAGAGATTCAAAAGACCTTGTTAGGAGGGCAACACTAATGGTATAGCTTTCTGTGTGGCTCCTCTCTACTAGCCTTAGGTCCATCATAATCCTGAGAGGGCGGTCATTCTTCCCCTCCCCCAGCCCTCCAGAGACTCTGGCATATTGGAAAGGAGTGGTGCCAGTTCCCTCCCTGACCTGTCATGCAGCTCTAATGACTGTATTGGAAGGAGACGTGTTTCGCACCTGTGTTTTGACCTCTGCTTTGTGTTGGAAATGTAATAACCTGACCAGGGGCATTGTTCTTTATACTGTTAGCTGTGAATTTTCAACTGTTCAGCAGAAATGATGAGTTGCCATGGTAACTCTTGGTTCTTGCTGAACTCCTGTGCAGGTTTATTGAAAAAGCTCTTAGAAGGTTAGTGCTGAAAACGGGGAGAAGGGGGAGAGTCCATGATGCTGGCACATGCAGTGGCGCTGGTAGGAGAGCAGACCCAGGGCTGTGAAGCACATGGAAACCTTTGGGCACACCTGGCTAATAGAGGCGAGGCACTGAGTCTCCAAAGGCCATTGGAAGAATGAATAGCACCCTAGGACCAAGGACAAAGCAGAGTAGAGTGAGTGACCTTACTGAAGATTAAAAGTAAGCCTCTGGGGAGGCTCCAAGATGGCTGCAACCAGTGCGCACTGTATTTAAGGGGCAGAGGATCCGAAACTCCAAAACTGGTGAGTGTATAGGGGCTGAAGCCAGAGCATGGACTTTGAGGTTCCTGGGCTAGAGGGTACAAACTCGTGTATGGAGACAGATTGGATCCAGGCCCCTCTCTCCCGCCATGGACGTCTCCGAGTTCTGAGAGCGGCGAACTATTGCCCAAAGCTGGGCGGCAGCACTGTAGAAACAGAGGCAGCAAGGAGTGCTTAACCCCAGGTCCAGGGCCTCCCTACTCTTGCGGCCAAACCGGGGTCCCAAATCTGAGAGCAAAAACCCTGGGCTCTCTATACTTTCTGCATACGCCTGCGAATAAGTGTGTACAGAGCCCCAGATCCGGGGTCCCTCGGTGCTGGCCCCCAGATATCGGATCCCTCTCAACATTTAAGCCCCTGTTCTGTAGGTCTCCAAGTGGAGTCCAGGCAAACAGTTCCTGGAGCCCAGCTGGTGCAGCCCAGACACCTGAATGCCTGCAACACAATACTGCAACAGGCCTGTGGGCCACTGAGCCATTCAGGGCACACTGCGCCCACGAGCCACGCCAGCACCCCAACCTGCACTTACGCTCCTTCCAGGCATCTACACCGGCTGTTTGCACACACGTACCGGCGACCTTCCTTCCTTAGCTGCATCAGAAACACCAATACCCACTCTCAAACCGGTAGACCTCTCTCATCTTCCTGAAGAATACTCCAGACTCCAGAGACAGATGGACCCATCTGCAGCACAGGCTCCAGGAACAAACAGCAAAGGCTATGAACCATCAGATGGCTAGAGGCCAGCATAAAAACACATCCAACAAAAATCAGGACATCATGGCTTCACCAGCAACCCCAAAAATTAATTGGAAACAAAAATTAATTAATTGGAAACACAGGAAAATTATCTCAAATCTATGCATATCCAGTTATTAGAGGCACATAAAGAAGAAATGAACAAAGCTCTCAAAGAAATACAGGCAAATAGAGCCAAACAAAGAGGCACATAAAGAGGAAATGAACAAAAAAATAGAGGACATCATGGACAGACAAGAATCCAAACGCAAACAGATAAAGGAAATGGTGCAAGACATGAAAACGGAATTAGAATCAATAAAGAAAATTCAAACTGAGAAACTCCTGGAGATGGAAAACCTAGCAAAGAGATCAGGAGGTAACCATCACCAACAGAATTCAAGATATGGAGGAGAGAATCTCAGTCACTGAATATTGAAGAAATCAATCCATCTCTCAAAAGAGACAAAATCAGAAAAGGTCCTGACACAAAACATCCAGGAAATGAAGGGCAAACAAAACCTAAGAATAATAGGAATAGATGAAAAAGGTCCAGAAAATATTTTCAAGAAAATCATAGAATAAAAATTTCCCAACTTAAAGAAAGAGATATTCTTAAACATACAAGAGGCTTACAGAACACCAAACACACTAGACCAGAAAAGAAACTCCTCATGTCACATAATAGTCAAAACACTAAATCTACAGAACAAAGAAAAAATATTAAAAGCAGCAAGAGAAAAAAAGCTAAGGAACATATAAAGGTAGACCTATCAGAATCACACCAGACGTCTCAACAGAAACTATGAAAGCCAGAAAGGCCTGGGCAGATGTCATGCAGACACTAAGAGACACAGATGTTAACCCGGACTACTATAGCCAGCAAAGCTTTCAATCAACGTAGATGGAGAAAACAAAATATTCCATGAAAAAACTAAACTTAAACAATATCTACACAGCAACCCAGCCCTACAGAAATTACTAGAAGGAAAACTCCAATCTAACAAAATCAACTGCACCCAAGAAAACACAGGATATAGATAACTTCACAACAAAAAATCAAAAGAAAACAAGCACACAAAACACTATCACCACAAACTCCACAATAAAAGGAACTAACATTCATTGGCTACTATTATCTATCAACATCAATGTCTCAACTCTTCAATAAAAAAACACAGACTAACAGAATGGTTGCAGAAACAGGATCCAACATTCTGCTGCATCCAAGATACATACCTACTTGGCTTCATCTCAGGTATGCAGGGGTGGTTCAACATATGAAATCCATCAATGTAATCCACCGCATAAACAAACAGAAGTAAAAACCCCACATGATCATCTCCTTAGATGGTGAAAAAGCATTTGACAAAATCTAACACCCATTCATGTTTAAAGTCTTGGAGAGATACACAGCACTTACCTAAACATAGTAAAGGCAATATACAGCAAGCCTGTAGCCAACATCAAACTAAATGGAGAGAAACTTAAAGCAATCTCAATGAACTCAGGGACAAGGCAAGGCTGCCCACTCTCTTCATATCTCTTCAACATAGTACTTGAAGTCTTAGCTAGAGCAATAACACAACTAAAGGAGATCAAGGGAATACAAATCAGAAAAGAAGAAGTCAAAGTTTCACTATTTACTTATGATAGTATACACGAGTGACCCCAAAAATTCTACCAGAGAACTCCTTCGGCTGAAAGTAAAGTACCTAGATACAAAATTAACTCAAACGGATAGCCATTGGAAGCAGGAGAGGACAGGGAACAGGATAGGAGCCGTCCACAGAGAACCTCTGAAAGACTCTACTGATCAGGGATATTGAAGCAGATGCTGAGACTCATGGCCAAACTTTGGGCAGAGTGCAGGGACTCTTATGAAAGAAGGGTGAGATAGAAAGACCTGGAGGGGACAAGAGCTCCAGAAGGAGACCAACAAAGCCAAAAAAAAAAAAAAAAAAAAAAAAAAGTGGGCCCAGGGATCCCTGCAGAGACTGATACCCCAAGAACCATTCATGGAGAGGACCTAAAACCCCTGCTCAGATGTAGTCAATAGACCCGGTCTCCTAGTGGGTTCCCTAGTATGGGGAACAGGCAGTGTCTCTGGCATGAACTCAGTGGACAGCTCTTTGGTCACCTCCCACTGGGGAGGAGCAGCCTTACCAGGCCACAGAGGAGGTCAATGCAGCCAGTCCTGATGAGACCTGATAGACTAGGGTCAGATAGAAGGGGAGGAGGACCTCCACTATTAGTGGACTAGGAGAAGGCCATAGGGGGAGAATAGATAGGGGGCCACAGCCGGGATACAAAGTGAATAAATAATAATAATGATGATAAAAAAGTAAGCCTCTGAAAGGCTCAAATAGAATTACTAGAACAAAATAGATCCAGAGGGGTTGGAGCGTGGTTCAGCACCCTGTAGGCTGTTGTATGCAGTGCCCAACACGTAGTAAAAGTCACTACATTTGCCAGACAGTGGTGGCACGTGGCTTTAACCCCAGCACTTGGGAGGCAGAAGCAGGCAGATCTCTGTGAGTTCAAGGCCAGCCTAGTCTATAGAGCTAGTTCTAGGACAGCCAAGGCTATCAAAGACAAAGACTATCAAGATAAACCCTGTTTTGAAAAACAAAACGGGTTGGGGATTCAGCTCAGTGATAGAGCGCTTGCCCAGCAAGCACAAGGCCCTGGGTTCTGCCCTCATCTCTGGAAAAACAAAACAACAAAAAAATGCATTAATTTTATTGCAGGATTTTGTGACCCAATGGACATAAACCTAGAAGTTGAAGTTAGTTGAAGGCATTTGTTATGTAAATGAACAGGACTTGAAAGAAAAGATGATCATAGTAGATCTCAGGAGAGTATAAACCATCTTTAACAATGAACTGACTGAAAATCTGGACCTGAAGAGTCCAGTTACATCTGAAGTGAAAGCTTCAGGATACTAATTTAATTTGATGAATTTTTAAAAATTATTTCATTTTGTAAAAATATTCATAGATTTGCTTAGATTTTAGGCTAGCGGCTGTCTAGAATCAGCATGTGAAAACATTCCCATTTCTTCCTGTTTAAATGTCTGGGCCTCGTCTCCATCGGAATGTTTTAAGCCTAAGCACCTCCACCAGGAGCTTTCCTATCTTTGATATGCAATCTGAGCAGAAAAACAAAACAAAACTGTTGTTGGCAATAAAATGGGTATTGGGCTAAATAATGTTTATTATTAGGCCTATAATTATTACAGCAGTATTATTTAACCCGCTATCACAATTAATAGGACACAGCCACCGGCCACCTGTTAGATTTTTATAATTGCCTTATTTACTTTGGGGGGGCAGATATTTCTATCTACCTTATCTCAAGAATCCCATACCGTCTGCCTTAACCATTCCTATTTCGGCTATGTTCCATCCATAATCTCTTAAATACTTGCTTATATTTTTCATCTTGATGTTTTCTCTATCCAAGCCATCCTGAGAGTCCTTCCTCCCAGCCCAGTGGGGTACCTTCTTCACCGTGGGGACCTCCTTCCTCCTCTCTTCCATCTTTCTGTCTCCTATGATTCTCCTGAACCCAAAGCCATACCTACCTCATTATGCCCTGCCCACAGTTTAGGCCTTTTAGTCAACCAATCAGGAATAGTGTCTTGACCCGTTTACACAACAGAATAGGGCAGAAACCAGTCTTGAGAGCCAGTAATTAGCATCAAAATACAAACATCAGATCAACCTGCACACAAAACCACTGGCCGCCAAGCATGTAATCTTAGCACTTTGTAGGAGGAAGCAGAAGGAAATTCAAGCCTGGGCTATATAAGACTTTATCAAAAACAAATAAAAGCCTGGCCAGTGGCATATGCCTGTAAATTACAGCACTCTGGGAAGCAGAGGCAGGTGGATCTCTGTGAGTTCAAGGCCAGCCTGGTCTACAAAGTGAGTCCAGGACAGCCAAGACTACACTGTGAAACCCTGTCACAAAACACTAAGAAGAAAGAAAGAAACAAAGAAAGAATCGAAAAGAAAGAAGTACTTGAACAGGTAGAGCAGAAACAAGAAGAGGAGAGGAGAAGGAAGAAAGAAGCACAAGGGAGGTTCTGTTGCAGTGGCTCAGTGATTCTGGGGACGGTGATACAAAATTCGGTGGGAACAGGAGGCAGTCACCTGGAATGTTCTATGGCAGGGAGACATAGGGAGAGGTGGAACTCATCTGCATATTGTGAACTTCTTTTGACCCCCAGACTGAGGGAAAGAAGCTATAAATTCATTCAGCAAAGATGTCAGTTGGGGTCTTTGTTCTGTGGAACCTTGAGGCAGGTCAGGTCATTCTTGCTTAGGTTGGTTGTGAATTGAGCACCGCTGTTGTGGTTTGCTGCCTCTACTAAGCAGGAGAATGAGGTTCTGATGTCCAGAACCGCCTTCTCTTTCGCCACCTTTCCTACCTCAAGCCCTACACCATTTGCTCTCACATGAGCTTTGCATTGCTACTTTTATCTCTCTCTCTCTCTCTCTCTCTTTTTTTTTTTCTCCAGGCCATGCGGGACACACTGGCAGACCTCCCAGAGTGGTATGGAATAAAAGGCATGCAGGCCCACTGGATTGGGGACTGTGTAGGCTGCCACCTGGACTTCACACTAAAGGTGATAGCAATGGGCACATCACTCATGCCCACAGATGTCTTTTGCGTTTTGGAGCTCTTTGAATACACAGCAGCTCTTCACCTGACCACAGCACTGCCCAGCAGAAAGAGAACCGGGAGGGCGTCTTTCTGAGCATGCTTTCTCTCCCTTCATCCGATGCCTGATGCTGAGTACAGGAGTGGGGACTGGCCAAGGATTCCTACTTCTGTTCTTCTGTGTGGCCCCACCTCTTGCATACATTCTTGGTCCTGTGGTCAGAAGCCACCACATCTGTTTGGAAATGACGGAATGGGTGGCATGGGGAGCCACACAGCTCAGGAAGAGGACTAAAAGTAAAATGTCATGTTTCATTCTGCCAGGCTAATGGACAAGACACAGGAGAAAAACTGACAGCATACACAGCCACCCCTGAGGCCATTTATGGCATTTCCCACGTGGCCATCTCGCCTAGCCACAGGCTTCTGCATGGCTGCAGCTCTCTGAAGAAAGCCTTACAGAAGGCATTAGTCCCTGGCAGAGGTGAGTGACGTGGTGAAGCACAGGCTATGAGGTTCCGCCCTTCAGTCCACAAGAACCATACATTTCCCACGTTTGCCGTTTCTCATCTGTTCTTCCCCTTAGCAGTAGTTTTTACTTTTTTATCTCAAAACCTGAGCATAAAACAGCTTTTTTTTTTTTTTTTAATGTTTTTTAAATTGCTTGTCCTGGGATCTCCCTTGTCGGTGTTGAAAGACTGCGCAGAAGCTCGGGTCATTGCCTTTTGATTTACTACCAGTTTAAAGCTGTCTTCTGATTGAGAGAGAATCATATCCTGAATTTTTAATTCTTTTAATAAATAAAACTGTCCTAAAAAAGGGCCAGTGGGGTGGCTCAGTGGGTAAGCCTGGTCAAGCCTGGTGACTTTAGCTCAGTCATTATGGCCTGCATGGTGGAAGAAGAGAGCAGATGCCCATAAGTCCTCTGACTTACACACACATATTGTGCTCCCCCTACCCACTAAATAAATAAATGCACCAAAATTTCAAAACATGAGAATGAAAAAAGAACCCTGGCAACGTTCAGTTGCTTGTTCTAGGTTTCCCTGAGTGATCGCTGTCACTGCGACTCTTGGCTTCTTTCCTTTTCCTTTGACTAGGCATAAAATTTCAGCCATCCAGGGAGGGGTTATGGGGGTTTAGAGCCTGGTAGGTGAAAGAAACCCTTGTTGATTAGAGGTAAGTCTCTGGAGAAGGTTTAAATGTTTCTGCAAAAACCTCATCCTTATGCTTCCTTTTACACTGTGAACTTTAACCTGCATCTCACATCTTAATTATTGGGTTCTCAAACTGTTTGGAGAGCCATTCTGCTCCAGACAGTGTCTCCTGAAGTCCTTCCTAGGTGCCTGTGGTGGGCCCAGCCTCCTAGGCCAGCGACAAGCCTTTTACAATCCTGATTGTAGGTGCCTCTGACCTTAGGGCAGAAGACATCCCAACACAAGGCAGGTCTTGTCACTTGCCTTCACTGTTTTTGTTATATGTTGAGGTAGAGAAAAAGATACAAGTTAAATTTCCACGTGTCTCGTTAAGGCCTCTGTGCCCATGTCTTGGGTTCTGTATTCACAGAAGCATGTTTGAGGGTACAGAAATTATGGTAACAGGAAAGTGAGGCAGCTTGTCATATTGCGTCCACAGTCAGTGTAGTGGTTTGAATAAGAATGGCCCCATAAGTTTTTGTATTGAATGCTTGACATCAGGAAACTACACTGTTTGATTTTTCCAGACAAGGTTTCTCTGTTAGCTTTGGCTGTCCTGGAACTTGATCCGTAGACCAGGCTGGTCTTGAACTCAAAGATCCTCCTGCCTCTGCCTCCTGAGTGCTAGGATTAAGTAGCACTATTTGAAAGAATTGGAAGGTGTGGCCTTGTTGGAGGAATATGTTACTGGGGTTTTCGGTTTCCAAAGCCCGTGCTAGGTCCAGTGTCTTTTTCTCTTTGCCTGCAGATCAGGATGCAGCACTCAGCTACTTCACCATTCCACTTTGGCCTTCCACCATGCTCCCTGCTGCCATGTTTCCTGCCATGAAACTAAGCAAGCCCCAGTTCAGTGCTTTCTTTTATAAGAGTTGCCATGGTCAGCCTGGCGTGGTGGCACACACCTGTCATCCCAGCACTCAGGGAGACAGAGGCAGGCAAATCTCTGTGGATTCGAGGCCAGCCTGGTCTACAAAGTCAGTTGCTATGGTCATGGTGTCTCTTCACAGCAATAGGACACTGACCAACACAGGAAGCCAAAAGAAGGAGAAGAGAGAGAGAGAGAGATGAAAGATGCTATTCAGCCCACTTTCTCCTTTTCAGTATAAGACCCAAGCTCATGCAATGGTGCCACACACATTCAGGGTGGGTCTTCCCCCTTCTCAGTTAAATCCTTCTGGAAACCCCTTTATAGAAATACCCAGAGATATGTTTTTATGGTGATTCTAAAACAGATAAGTTGACAATGAAGGTTATCTCAGGTTTTTTTGTTTGTTTGTTTTACTGTGCTTAAAAACAAAGAAAAGAAAGAATTCATTTTAACTGTTTGAAGAGAGAACTCAGTGTTTACACTTTGAGTAATTTAAGATTCCTTGCGGCTATGATGATTGAAAAGTAAATATTGAAAAGCTAAATAGTATAAGTAATGAGTAACCAGCTCACACATTTCCCCCATCTCATAGGTCATCTGGGGCCACGGAATGAAGTAATTTAATAATGATGACCTAATAAGTTTAAAAGATTACAATCCCTGAGATGAGAGACACGATAAATTCAGAGCACCTTCACATGATAACCTGAGGAGTATCCATCTTAGTTACTTTTCTATTGCTGTACTAAGACACTTATAGACTTATATGTTGGCTAAGACAACTTATAGAAGAAAGAGTTCATTTATTGGGCTTATTTACTGTTTTAGGCAATGAATCCATGACCATCATGGCAGGGAACACAACCCTGGAGCAGTAGCTGAGAGTTTATGTCCTGATCCACAGGCACAAGGCAGAGAGAAAAAGCTACCTGATCATGGCATGGGTTTTTGAAACCTTAAAGCCCACCCCCAATGACATACCTCCTCTAACAAGGCCACACTTCCCAGTCCTTCCCAAACAGTTCCACCAGCTGGGGACCAAACATTTAAATCTATGAGCCTATGGGAACCATTCTCCTTTAAACCACCATAGTATCTAAGCACATATGACCAGCCACGTTTGAGGCCACTTCGGCTAGTGTAGCAGACTGGCTTGGTCTTTTCAATTTGGCAAATTGAAAGCCATATGTAACATTCCATTTGGATGAGCTCCTGAGCTGGTTTTCCTTCCTTTCAATAATCCTGAAGTTGTTCCAAATAGAATATTATGCTTGGCACTGAGTTGTCCCAGTTCTAATCTTCAGAATAAAACATCGCTTTTCAGTTCATTCAGTTTGAATCAATTCAGTCGGTAAGTCAGTTAAGTTAGTATATCAAGATCCTGGTTCCGTCTTTACACTATATGGTCACAAGACCAGAATAGTATGTTGAATGCAGTGCAATTGTCACACCTGCTGTGACTCTCACACCTGCGATAGCCTCTGTCCCCTGCACCCTGCAGGCCAGACTTCAGCCTTCGCTGTTCAGTCACTGCTTACCATTGCCAGTCGGCTTACTCTTTTTTTCATTGTCAGGATTCTGGGGTGACAAGTGTCAAAGCAGTGACCATAAAGGTCATGGTAGGCTGGGACTTAGCCTGTCACTCTCTCTCTCCCTTTTTTTTTTTTAAGATATATTTATTTATTTATCTATCTATCTATTTATTTATTTATTTATTATGTATACAATGTTCTGTCTGCGTGTATACCTGCACGCCAGCAGAGGGCGCCAGGTCTCATTATAGATGGTTGTGAACCACCATGTGATTGCTGGGAGTTGAACTCAGAACCTCTGGAAGAGCAGCCAGTGCTCTTAACCTCTGAGCCAGCTCTCCAGCTCCTCCTGTCACTCTCTCTTATCCATTCAGATTTCTGCTTTCACTGAGTTGGTTTCTGAATACTGGCTCCTGATTTGCCACAGATAACCAAGAATGTATCTCAGTTGCTTAGCATATACACAAGTCCAATTCCTGGCAGCATAAAACAGCTCAATAAAGGAATCTAGTCCTAGATATACTCTTATCACTATGGAAAGACAAAGCACTTGTAGATTTACTTTTCTTAATTGAGCAGGTGACTGGTCCTTGAGTTTGATGATTTTAGGTAGTCCTTGACACCCTGAGGAGCTCTAAGAAGGGTGACTCAAGTAGACAAGGAAAAGCTTGAGTGGCAATATGCTCACAAGGGACCAACTTATTAGTTGTTGGAGAAGATGATAAAGGCCACATAATAATGAAAATTAGTGAAGAAGAGGGACCATCTCAGAGAAGCTTCTAGAAGGTAGATCTGAGGATCCCACCCTGATCTCTGGCTTGGCTGATTGGGTTACTGATGTATTGAATTTTTGCTTAGCAAGCTTGGTGCAGGGTCCTTTACAAGAAAAAGTACAGTACTTGCTTAGAGTCCTTGGAATTGACTTCCAGAGTCATTGATCTCACTCCCTTTTCTTTGCTGACACCTCTGGCTGGAGTGTTACTTAATGAGCTATGGCTAGAAAGATCTGGAAACCACAGAGCATAAAGAAAGGGATGTCTTCCAAGTTCCAGAGCTGTCTGTCTCTTCTAATTATTTTAAACCTATCTATCTGTCTGTCTATCTATGTATCATCTATCAATCACTGTATACACTGGATCTTGTATATACTTCTATCTCTCCTCCACTTCCCCTTTTTTTCCGATTTCATTTATTTTTATCTTAATGTGTATTGTACGAGTGTTTTGCCTGCATGTACACCTATGTACCACATGTATGCAAAGCTGTGCAGGCCAGAAGAGGGTGTTAGATCCTCTGGGACTGGAGTAATAGATAGTTGTTAGCTGTGCCATATTGGTCTTGGGAACTGAACCCAGGTCCCTGGAAGAGCCGCAAGTGCTCTTCACTGCTAAGTTGTGTATCCAGCTCCTTCCTGTTGTTTTAAAAACAAAATCCCAATTGTCCTTCTTCTCCATGCTGTCCTAAATACCCTTCAACTCAATGCCCTTCTTTCTGTTTGCTGTCTTCTTGCTCCGCCTCTTGATTAACTTTATTTAATCCTATTTACAGAAAGCTTTTGGATTTTAGGTGAGTGGTAGGGCTGAGTTACACCAAACAACAAACAGGTTTGTTTTTTTTTTTTTTCTTTTCTTTTTTTTTTTTTAATTTTATTTTTCTTTTTAGTTACATTTTGTTAACTCTGTGTCCCAGCTGTATCCCGCTCCCTCATTCCCTCCCCAACCCCACACTCCTTCCCTGGTCTCCTCCCTGCCCCTTTCCAAGTCCACTAATAGGGGAGGACCTCCTCCCCTTTCATTTGACCCTGTTTTATCAGGTATCTTCAGGGCTGGCTGCAAAGTCCTCCTCTGTGGCCTAACAGACTGCTCCTCCCCTGGGGGGGGGGGGGTGT